TTCTGGGACCAGGCTGGCGGGAAGAATCTCATCACATATGGCACCCAATGTTGGTTGCATGAATTTTCACGTAGAATGACAAAAGCTTAAAAGGGATGTTTAGAAACAAAAGAACAGAGACAAGCACAGCTTCTTAGTAACAGCATTTTCTTGGGTGGGCTCTGTTTTACTAGAGACAAGCAGAGACTTGTGCAGTAAACTTATGCCTGCCATGTTGGAAAGCCAGCGGCTAAAACAGCCCCTCTTTAATTATAACAATGTTGTTTATTAGATAAAAGACACATGGCCAGAAAAACATAAAGATTTACAGTAAAGTCAGATTCAGATGAAGTAAAACCTCTAAAAGGTTTACAGTATGTTAAAAAATATATGTAGGCTTGGGAGAGAAAAAAAAGAAATAGAGAAGCTGGGCTGTGGTGGCACACGCCTTTAATCCCAGCACTCAGGAGGCACAGGCAAGCAGATCTCTGTGATTTCAAGGCCAGCTTCGTGTACAGAGAGAGTTCAAAGGCAGCCAAAGTACACAGAGAAACCCTGTCTCAAAAAAGTAAAATTAAAAGATATAGAGTAATAAAAAAACCATAAAGGTGGAAAAGACACAGAGAGTCTGGATACTGTATGCTATTGTGTTGTCTTTCAGTTGTTCAATTGCTAAGGAAGGAACAACAACTGCTAAAATACACTTGAAATACTCAGGTTAGCAGTTATGGGTTAAAAATTAAGTCAGAGCTAGCCAACAAGAAACCATAGCAAATAGCCAACAGCTTCATAATTAATACAGCGCCCTGTGTGTTCATTTGGGAGTGACGTGGTTCTGGGACCAGGTTGGTGGGAAGGATCTCATTACAGTGTGGGTTAATATCAGCATTTTTTATTCTATTCCAATGGTCTCCCTGTTTATTTTTTTGATAATACCAAGCTGTTTACAGAACCATAGCTCTATAACAGCTTGAAGTCTGGGATGGTGATGCTTCCAGAAGTTCCTGTATTGTACAAAGTAGTTTGGGCTATCCTGGGTATTTTGTTTTTTCATATAAAGTTGTGTACCAACTCTTTGTTACATTGATTCCTTGTATCATTTTCTTTGTTTCTACTTTATTGATTTCAGCCCCCAATCTGATTATTTCCTGGCATGTATTCCTCCAGGGTGAGTTTGCTTTCTTTTGTTCCAGAGCTTTCAGTTGTGCTATTAGTCTCTAGTGTGACTATTCTTCAGTTTCTTCATGTGGGCACCTAGTGCTATGAACATCCCTCTTAGCACTGCTTTGAAAGTGTCCCATAAGTTTGGGTATGTTGTGTCTTCCTTCTCACTGAATTCTATTAAGTCTTTAATTTCTTATTTTATTTATTCCTTGACTCAGGAATGATGCAATTGCTCATTGTTCAATTTCCATGAGTTTGTAGGGTTTCTGCAATTTGTGTTGTTGTTGAATTATAACTTAAAAGCATGGTGATTGGATAAAATACAGGGAGTTATTCCAATTTTTTTTATTTGTTGAGGTTTGCTATGTTGCCAAATATGTGGTCGATTTTAGAGAAGGTTCCATGTGGAGCTGAGAAGAAGGCATATTCTTTTGTGTTTGGATGGAATGCTCTATAGAAGTCTGTTAAACCCATCCAGGTCATAATTTCTGTTGGTTCCTTTGATTTTTGGTTAAGTTTCTGTCTGGAGGTCCTGTGTAGTGGTGAGAGTAGGGTGTTGAAGTCTCCCACTATAAGTGTGTGAGGTTTTATGTGTGATTTGAGTTTTAGTAATGTTTCTTTTATGAAGGTGGATGCCTTTGTATTTGGGGCATAGATGTTCAGAATCGAGACTTCATCTTGATGGATTTTTTCTGTGATGAATATGAAATGTCCTTCTTCATTTCTTTTGATTGATTTTAGTTTGAAGTCTAATTTGTTAGATATTAAAATTGCTATATCTGCTTGTTTTTTGGGGCCATTTGATTGGAAAATATTTTCCCAACCCTTAACTCTGAGGTAATATCTGTTTTTGAAGGTGAGGTGTGTTTCTTGTATGCAGCAGAAGGATGGATTCTGTCTTCGTATCCATTCTGGTAGCTGTGTCTTTTTATAAGCAAGTTAAGACCATTAATGTTGAGCAATATTAATGACCATTAATTGTTAATTCTTGTTTGTTTTGGATTTGGTGGTGGTACTGTGTGCGGATTTTCCTCCTTTTTTATTTTGGCTGTTGGTAAAGTGGGATTATCTATTGCCTATGTTTTTGTGAGTGTAGTTAACTTCCTTGGTTGGAGTTTTCCTTCTTCATTCAATCCTAAAAAGTTTAATTTTCAGCCAGGCAGTGGTGGCACATGCCTTTTGTCCCAGCACTTGGGAGTCTGAGGCAGGCAGATCTCTGTGAGTATGAGGCCAGCCTGGTCTACAAGAGCTAGTTCCAGGACAGCCTCCAAAGCCATAGAGAAACCCTGTCTCAAAAACCAAAAAAGTTTTAATTTCCTTCTTCATTTCTGTCTTGACTCAATTTTCATTAGTATTTAGTTGTTCAGTTTCCATGTTTTTGTACACTTTGTTGTTTCTGCTGTTGTTGATATCTAGATTTGATCCACGCTTCTAACTCCTGGTCTGTGCAACTCTCTCTCTCTGGTAAATAAATATATTGTTTTCCCTATATAGCATCGAATATCGTTATAGTGTTTAGATAAGATACAGAGTACTATTTCAGTTCTCTTGTGTCTGTTGAGACATCATGTGCAGTTATATGGTCAATTTTGGAGAAAGTCCCAAGAACTGCTGAGAAGAAAGTATGTTCTTGTATATTTGAGTGAAATATTAACTAGTTATCTACAAGGTACATATAGTTTAGGGTATTATTTAACACTAGCATGTCTCTGATTAGGTTTTGCCTAAACAACCTGGCTATTGAATAGAGTATATTGTAGTCACATTATTGCTGTGAGGATTTTACTGTGATTTTAGCAGTAGTACTTTCATGAATATGGGTGCCCTTGTGTTTGGTACATAAATGTTTAGAATTGTAGTGCCTTCTTGGAATATTTTTCATTTGATGAGTATGTATATTTTGGTTTCAGATTTTTATGGTGTTGTGTGTGCATGCACACGTGTTTCTAAGAGAGAGAGAGAGGCAGAGAGACAGAGATAGACAGAGAGAGACAGAGAGAGGAGAGAGAGAGAGAGAGAGAGAGAGAGAGAGAGAGAGAGAGAGAGAGAGAGAGAGAGAGCGAAAGCATGGACTTGCATTGATAGGAAGATGCGATGGTATTTACACACCCCTAGCCAGTGAGGCTGTCTTAGTTTGGGGTGTTTTACATTTGTTTATTCTCTGGAATATTTGTCTAATGATGCAAAATTGTGTTGCTTTGCTTGCCTAGATCACTTTATTGGTCTAATAAAGAGCTGAATGGGCAATAATTAGGAAAGAGAAATGGTAGGGAAGTGAGGCTGGCAGGCAGAGAGAATAAATTGGAGGAGAAATATGGGAAGAGAGATCAAGGATCAAGAATAGGAGGACAGGAGAAGTCCAGGGGCCAGTCACCCAACTACACAGCAAGCCATGGAGTAATAAGGAAAGGAAGGTATATGGAATAGAAAAAGATAATAGTCCAGATTCAAAAGGTAGATGGTATGAAAGTTAAGAAAAGCTGGCTAGAAATAAGCCAAGATAAGGCTGCGCATTCATGCCGGGCATTGGTACCACACGCCTTTAATCCCAGCACCGGGGTGGCTGAGGCCAGCTTGGTCTCAGAGCGAGAGTTTGAGGACATCCTCCAAAACAATACAGAGAAATCCTGTCTTGAACCCCCCAAAAAGGGTGTGCATTCTTAAGTAAGAATAAGTCTTTATGCATTTATTTGGGAGCTGGGTGGGGGTCCCCCAAAGAGCAAGAATTTAAAAAAAACTACAGAGATCTTGTCTGAAAAACAAAAACGTAGTAGTAAAGAGAAGGTAGGAGTTTGGTGAGGAAGGCATGGACATGTATGGTGCATTCTCAATACTCTTGTAGTCACTACACCATCTTAGCTAGAGTTAAACAAGGCTGTACAGATAGTCAATGAGGATGTCACCAGGAAAATGATGTGCACAGGCACTGTTTTATTATATTACCAATGCATCTGGCTGCTGTTCTTCTCAGTGTATGATGAGAACATGCCCATGCTTGGCTAGTTGAAGGGAAGTTTCTTTTCATCCTAACCATCATGTGACAACTTGGCTTTGAGTGACTTTGAATCTGAGCATTTCTGGAAAATATGCAAGCCTAGTTTACCTCTCAATGTGGTCCTCTGATCAGAGAATCACTCACTGAGAGGCACCGGGCAGGTTGAAAATACTGAAGGAAGACCTCACATTTCTGTTAAGCTAGGGCCCTACTATGGCTTCTTACATAAACAGTGAATGTAAAGAGTGAAAATAAATACATTCTCTACTCTTGGTTATGTGAGATACCATCACAAACCTCATGCTACCTGGATTCACTCATATGTAGCTGACTCCTCTGCCATTTAACAGATACCACAGAACAATTCTGTTGTTTACGTCCATTTTCTTGAGGGCAAGCTTTGTGTGGGGCAGGGAGGTATTTACTTTGGAGTTGGTCATCCTTAGTAAAGTACACTGGCATTTATAATAACCCTCCTTGTAGTCTTGGAGTACATGAGCAGATTTGACTAGATAGCAGCTGTTAGATGTCATAGAATGTATTGGATTATGAGTTCACTATGCGAGTTCTATGACACTCTGCTGACACGTTCTTAGATATAGTCATGCCTCAGTTCTGAATGCCAGTACACTTTGAGAATTTCCTCAGAGTATGTGGTTATAAATTGTGGAGTGATAATTGTGTTGGAATTAGAGTATAATGGGGAACTGTTGTAACAGTCGAGGTATGTCATTACTAGTCATTGAGTACTCCTTCAATTAGACTAGCAAATATTTCTCAAAATATCTTCTTTTATAACTTCTGTATTGTTAGGACTATGTTTTATTATGTATTGTGTGTATTATATTCTCTATGAAAAAATTGACTATAATTTAATGTGTATGTATATGTGGGTGATATATATATATACATATACATATACATAATACAAATTCATATTCCCTCCCTCAAGTTTGTCCTTAGTAGATATACCTATATATAAATACTGCAATGTTATTTCATAAATATACTATGCAATAAGTACTTGGTTCTCTGTATTGAAATTAGTAATCTTAGAAAACCAGGGTGACTCATAGTACTAGAAATATTGTGATAAATTTCACACTGTAATGTGATTGTTTTGTTCTGAATGCGTGATCACTATTTCAGCACATGAAGTAAGGAAGTAAGGACTGAGGTGAATTATAGAGACTGATGAACTAACTAGAGAGTTGATATCAATTTGCAATCATCAATGAGTATAAAGAGTGTGTATATGTTGAACAAAAAGAATTGTTTGAAAGAGTAATTGTGTTTCTGTGTATGTAGAACCACAGCTCTGAAGAGACATGTTAACTCTTATTTCTGTTTTCATGTGTTATGTGATTTAGTTATCCTGACCTGCTTTCAGAGCTCTTTCACAAAGCTGAGCTATAGCTGTCTTCATGAATTGATCAAAACCTAAATGTAGAGATGCTCACATTTTTGGAGAGCTGTTAATTAAGATTTTAGGTTGTCAATGTTCTTTTAATACTAGACGTTTTAATATGTAATGTTAATCTGTCAAAGAATCTAGGGTTCATTTCATTAAACAGGGATTCACTGCCTATGCTTAAGGCAGCTAGAATACTTTGGAAAACAATGATTTTTAAGGCATGGACATTGATTGTGTACTTAGGGCAACATAGACATCATTTTAAAATATTTACTTCTTTTTAATAGAGGTTGGCAAATTTGAAAGGTAGGCTCTTAGGACTAGCAATCATATATTATTAGAAGAAGAGTGACCTAGGCATTTAAAATTTGGGGCTTTAGATAGCAGGACATTTTAAAATAACTAACCTTCCTGAGTGTTGATACTGCTTAGATCACTGTCATTGAAATCACTTAACAACAGCCCAGATACTTGTTTTTCTTTATTGACTATGTGAATTCCTGGGGTGGAATAAAACACACGCACGCACGCACGCGCACACACACACACACACACACACACACACACACACACACACACACTGGTGAATGTGCTCTTAGATGGAAAAGCCTCGATGTGAACTTAGACATATTGCCCACTATCCTGAGTCTCTAAAATGTTACCTTACTCACCAATCAAGAAGTCCTATCTTCTTTGTACATGTCAGGATATCTGCAAGTCTATAGAAGTCCTAGGCATTACCTACATTATGACATAGAGTCCATGCATGGTCACTTAGCCCAGGACAGGTATTGCTACATCAGTGTCACATTTCATACTAATCATCATCATAAGGAAGTACCAGATTCTTAGGTTTGGGACACCCACCTTCATACCTGGCCTAAAGCCAATTACAGATGAAGAGATCATTAATTGGTATCTAATGTCAATACAAATGTGGTCCTTGTATAAGAGCAATACGAATGTGGCTCTTAGAAGTGCAGAGATATTTGAGCTACACACCCTGAAAGAGTGATACACATGTTATCTTGAATATCTACCCAGTTTTATGAGTATACATCACCCCTGAAGCAATTCTCATGTGTAGCTATATTAAAGGACTTGAGTGGTCAAAGGGATCCAGACACTTATTTTCCCCCATCACTGTTGGTTTTAAATTGGATCCCACAAAACACATGATTACAAAAGTTTATAGAATAATAAAGACTCGAAGGAGAAACAAGACACAGCATGCTTATTACTAATTTCCACTCTTCAGTAAATTATTGTTCTATGTCAAAAGATGAATAGATAAATACAGTTACACCATATGCCTTATACTAAATTCACTTCCCCAGTAAAATGTTTGATACCAAAGCTAAAATTCTATGTTCTTTATGATGAATGCGAGAATCAGAATGTATCAGTTGATGGAGGTTGAAATATGCTTGTGAGATATATTGAATAATTGTCAGTTCTTCTAGGGTTCAAAATGATCTCAGGAATTGATGGTGATATGTGGTTTAATTGTGAGATTTATTTTGCTTGGCAGAGTGAGATATTTCAGTAGGTAATAGTGCTTGTCACAAGACCTGGTGTTCTGAGTCTAATTCCAGAACCCACATAGTGGAAGGAGAGAACTAGACACCAAACATTGTCCTCTGATGTGCTACCTCCCAAACTGAATAAATGTATAAAAGTTTTTGAAACATGCACTCAGTAGTTACATATTGAAACCATTCTCATATTGCTTTGGATTCCCATTCCCATAGAAAGCAGAAAATGAAGACTCTGTTTTTATATTTTTTAAATCTTTGCCTACATTTGCTATCAGGAAGACAGTCCAGTAATCATCTAATTAATGGCATGTGCTGGTTACATACACTTTTATCCATGTCAAGGAAGGATGGCTTGGGTGAATAAATGTACCATGAGCTGACAGTTATTTTCTGTTCCTCTAGTTGTTCCTATAGAACATGCAATTATCCCATATTACTCAACTGGTGAACAAACGTGTCCAGAGACCTTCTTGGAGGTAAAAAGTTTCTTTGCTTTATGTAAGAGACAAAAGTTAGTTTAATTATTATTCCCTATGTTTCAATGACTATCACACTTGAAAAATAAATTTGATTAGGTTATCAAGAGCATGAAATAGTATATTTAGGAAGAAGGGGAAACAGAATTATACCAGATTAGTGATTGGACAGAACATTCACACTTGCTTATGTCAAGAAGCAAGTTTGACTGGGGATGTGTCTTTGGGAGAATGATGTTCTACTTTAGACAAAAGAATGCAAATTTCACTTAGAAGTTGATAGGCTTATCATCCTTGTGGGTTTCAATGTTAATGTAAGGAAACCCCCTTTTATGACTTCTAGAGCCTCTGGCTTAGGTTGAATTTGGTTATGTTCCCCAAAGACATATGTGGTAGAAGCCTCATATGTCCCAGTATGGGGATGTCTAGGTGCCGAGAACTTTAAGACATGAGGATGTGTGCACATTATTGGAGTGTTCCATAAAAGAGATGAATATCATAATAGACAGATGTAAATTATTCTGTCATGTGTGTAATGTAGCTTAGCTGAACCGTCAGTGGAGGCCAAACACACAGGTTTGCCAGATATGGCCTCAAGGTCAGCAAAAGTGGGAAACATACTAGTTTTTATTAGTTTGTTTGTTTTGGTTTTTTTGTCACAAATCAGACATGCTGAGCCATTCTGTGTCAGTATCACGTGATATACTAATCCAGAATCTTCCACCCAAGGACTTGGCAGTCCTTTGTATAATAATACCTGGCAAACAAGTAAACCAAGAAGTTGTACAAACAGAACCCACCATAATTCAAGCTCACACTGTTTTCTTTCCTGTGTATTGCAGGTGGAGCCTACAAAACCCCAATGTGGTATGTATTCTGGAGTCACTGAAGACATGTTTTAGATGTGAATTGTGTGAATACTGCTTGTCTTTTGTCTAGTTCACCACAGTAAGAAAAACACATCTATCAATTTGCAGTTGGGAGTTTGATTTTAAAAAAGTGATGCCTCAAGTAAGAAATCATAGGCATCTGTCTAAAGTAGCTGCATCCTGTTGTGACCTCCTTAGTTTGAGATTTTGTGCACCAGGCTGTGTCTAAACTTATTTTAGCTAGACAGATATCTATATCACTAACCCAATTCCCAGGGAAACTGCTGAGAAAAAAATCAGGATTAGAGCTACCTTGTCAGCTATGGGGGACCCAGCCCAGACTCTGTCCTTGTTCTGGGAGACTTTTTTAAACTTAAGAATAAAATTAATATTCGCAGTTTACCTATAATAGTGTGTTTGAAGCTCACCACAGCCATATATAGTAGTTTGATTTGTGTTTTCCTAAGCAAGTGAATTAACCAAGGCTCAGAATAAGTGATGAGGGTCTTTACACATGCAGTACAGCCACTGCATTTAACACCATCTACGGGCACAATAATCTCTACAGAAGAGTGTCCAGATTTCCAACATCTGGCTGCAATAAATCAAAGTGACAGGAATGCCCCAAGACTGCCACACCTCCCACAGTATTCAGAAGGCTGGGACAGTGCAATTCACCTGCCTGCAGACGATTAGCAAGTAGGAAAGAAAGCAGCCCACAATGTGGTGCAGGTCAGAGACTGTGTGCTACATTGACATACGTTGGTTGTGAACTAGATTTGAGCTAGACTTGGTTGGCTCCTTTCAGTAAAACCTGCGTGTGTGTATGTGTGTTTGTACATGTGTGTGTATGGATGGATGGGTATATGAATGGATGAATATATACTTGTATATCTATATTTTGGACTGAGAGGTCTCATAGTATATAGTTAAGACCACAGAGAAATGAGGGAGTTTATTAATTTTGCTGTGTTTATGTGACTCTAAGAGAGATTTGAATGCTGCTAATCAGGTACAAAGTCAATTTAACACAGTAAAGTGGGTCTTCTCTAACACTGTCACAGTGACATAAATTTATGAATTGCCTATATCATCAGTGTAATACATGCTGAAGTATGCAGTGCATTCAGTGATTTTTGTGAAACACCACTGTGACTCTGATGACAGTGCTTGTATATGGTCATGAGATACAATGTACAAAAAAGAACATTACTGGTTTCCTCTGTTTTCCTAGGATGAAGTTAACAAAACTGTTTGCTGTTAATACATTACCAGTGTCCAATATCTTGGATAGACACCACCAGAAGCATACTGCTATTGAAGATGTTGATTAAGGATCTCAAGTCCAAGCTGGCACTTCCATAGAAAGACTACAGAGTAAAACAGAAGGAAGTGTTGAAAGGCAATAACTTCATTGGGAGATATATAGCAGTTGCAGGAAATTATTGTACACTAAGAGGGGGGAGATGACAACCTTAGAATCCTTTTCTATTTAGATAATGTTAATTTGCACAGTTCACCAGTTGAAATTTAGCCACACAATTTAAGAATGAATATTAACTTCACCTTTTCCAGTCATTGAGCAACAAAAAGCATGGCAAAGATGAACTCAAACTGTTAGTTTACTTAGTGAAGACAGGAATAGGTAAGCCACCCTATTACCTTCTCCAACAAACCTTTAATGTGAATGAACTGAATATAGATAGATGTTGCAGTCACTAAGTAACAATAAACGTCGGAGAGGTAAAGTCAGTCTTCTCTCTGTCATTGTCACTTCAGCTGGTACAGGCAGGAAAAGGTGAACCACCTCTCTATTACTTTCTCCCAGAAACCTTTAATGTAGATGAACTCAGTGTAAGCAGTCTCAAGATTGACATGGTAATTTTCAAAATCGGAAACAATTAGGACAAATTTTGAAATAGAAAACAGCATTTCTGGACTGTCCCAAGTGGAGTGGCTCCCTGAGTAGTGTGCCACACCCTGTGCTTATGGGAAAGAACAGTACCAACAAGGAAATGACACAAGATTACATTGCTTTTCCTCTTCCAAAGGCATCATGGTAGTCTAGTTATATGGTTAAGCTTTAAGTACTCTTTGCTTCTGGCTCTGTCATTTGAAGGCAGACTTTTAACACTTAATGCTTTTTAGCATTTGTCAGTACCAAATGTCTAATGCTAAGTAGCTCTCAATGGAATTTAAGCCTTTCCCAGTTTGTTGGCTGAAATACTGACTAAAACATGCCAAAGGTGGAGTGATCATTTTGTCATGCTATCATGAGTGTGGTGTGCATATTTGCTGAGAACCCATAGATCCAGGAGCCTGAGGCACAGGTTCAATGCAACATGAATAAGGCAAAGGAGGCTTATGCTCTGCTCACCTTCTCCCTTTACAGTTGTGGATCTCAGCCCCAGGAACAATACCACTTCTCAGTTAACCCTGTCAAGATAATGCTCTACTGCCATGGCCCTTATCATCTTGACATTTGTACCATCACAGTGTCCCCAAAAGGTAGTGATCAGTTTGGTGTTTCAATCTATGATAAACCCAGTCTTTCTGGTGGAAGAGACCACCTCTTCCTGTGCACTAAAATATAAATATATAACTAAAGATCCTAGTGGTGCAGAATAAGCAGATACTTTCCCTAGGTCCAGTGGGATGTTGTAGGAGTGCCTAATTGTTCCTCTACTGACCATTTAGTCCCTCGTTAAAGGACATTCACAGACTGATAAATAAATAGTAGGTTACTCTGGTGTGACCCCATTGCAACGCTATCGATGTCGTGAAAAGTAAAGGCTTCACCTGTGTCTTCAGCTTTTAGCAGTCTATGCTCCTTAACTTTAACTGGCATACTGGGTGACTGAGTCAAGGCAGGTTACAGGCTGATTTCTATCTTGGACCCTTTAATTAATGGATGATTGGGGGAAACGGATCTATACTCAGACCCATCCTTGATGCTTTTAGAGGCATCCTTACTTCATCCTCCAAGATACAGAGACTGAGTTTGTGAATTCTGTAAAATACTGCCCCTATTCCTTAGATTAAAGGATATAGACATGAGGGGATTAGCTGTGTAGGCAACCATAGGATGTGTCTGTCCCTTGTGCTGTCGGTACTTGAGTCCCACCCACTTGGCATGGTCTGACATTTGTCATCTTTCCTAGGGACATGAAATTTGATCTAAGGAGTCTCTGTCCTCTCAGTGACTTCACTGCCATGTCCTCAGTAGGCTCACAAACTAGGCTCATGAGAAGTATATCTGCTTCTATGGATTCTCTCATTCTGAGGTGGCTTTGGGCTCCTTTTCATATCCTATATCTGTAGGGTGAATTCACAGTTTCTACCTGATTCTGAACTGTGTGTGACTGACACAGTATTCTACTTCTATCCCCCAGCTTTCAGTCTCCCTTCCTAGTACTCCTGGCCCCTATCCTTCCCAGCTTCTTCTCTTTCATGATTACCATGTGTCTTGGTCTGGCATGCCATGGAGGCCTGTGTGGTCCAATCCACCGGTTTCCTTTATTGGTGATTCTGTGTACTGGAAGACATTGTCCAGGCAATGTGGACTAACTCCCATACATGTTCTTCAGCCTCAGTCCTGGGTATCCTAGATATTTCCTCCATCACAAGATGGCTCACTCTCACATAGCTCATGAGATTGAAAAGGTCACTAGGAGAGAACAGCAAAGAACTCTCTTAGAACAGGTTTGTACCTTGAATAGGCAATTGAATCTCTAATAAAGGTGGATCAGACCTTTACTACATGGACATAGGTAATTGTCTACTGGTGGCCAGCTGAGCCTGAATAGAGGGGCAATTACCCTGTAGCTCAAAATCATCTCAGGGATTGGATGTACTGTGTGATTTTTATCATAAAATTTTTTATGGGGCCAGTGACATGGCTCAGCGGTAAAGGCATTTGATGTAAGACTGAGGACAAAGAAATTGAACCTGGAAAATGCATGGTAGCCTGAGAGAATCAGGCACAGAGGGTTTAAAAGGTTTAAATATGATGGATCCCCAGCCAGACTGTTGGACCTCCCTAGAACAAGTATTATAAAAGTACAGTTTGGGAAAGATTTATTTCATCTTTACACCATATGTCACAGGTCTGTTTACAATGCTATAAATTCCCATTGCTATAGAAGGAAAAAATCTGTTCATGTCTCTTCATTTCTTTCCAGGTCATCTCTCTGGCCTTAATTTCCCTTCCTCGGAAGTCCAGCAACAACCTCAACGATAGTGTTCAATTAGGTTTAGTAATATATGCCAACTAAATGCATTTTATCCATAATCAAGGAAAAGATCTCCTATAAATAATAATAATTCCTGTGAATTGAGCAGTCACTTTCTTTGTTCCTAGCATCTTCTAAAACTGCTAACAGTGCAACTTCACCAAGGGACCAGCGAGATCCACCAGTGAGGAAGGTGAAGGTAAGACTGTTTTCCTTTCTCTGAGGCAGAAAGGTTACATCAGTGCTCCCCTCATGTTTCAGAGGATATTACATTTGAATCATGAAGCTGGTCTGTAGTCATCATGGGCATTAGAGAGTTTATTTAGTTGGAGGAGGGAATGTTACTGTACCAACTTTGATCTTCCTTCAAGACAGCATGCATCACAATGTGGCACAAGTTGTGTCCTGCTTTATGAGTGATTCCATCAAGATGGGTGCCTCTAATGCACTCATGGTTTAAAGATCTGTCAAGCTGAATACTGAATGTCCTCAAGCTGGACACACTAAGCTTCCAACACATCAAACTTTGGGTCGTATACTCATGTTATTTCCAAACCAGAGGTCCTAGAAACAGAAAACATCTTAGAAAAATACAAGTTTTCATTTGCTATGTGATGTACGATTTACAACTCTGGAATCCAGACACATTTACCTCATCTGCATTTGACTCAGAACTAAGTATGGAAGTTACATTTTTTTTGTCACAAAATACAGAGTCCCAGATCTTCTTTGACATCATAAAATCATGTCCCCATTAATATAGTCTTCTCTTTACTGCTCTTCTCTGTCCTAGCTGCAATTACACCTGTCAGTAGAAAAACAATGGCTTTGTAGACATTGCTCAGCATGATCATGGCATTAAATATT